GGGAAGGGAGGGAGGAAGCAAGCAAGCAAGCTAGGGGAAGGGGAAGGGGAAGGGGAAGGGAGGGAGGGAAGAGGAAGGGGAGGGGGAAAGGAGGAAGGAAGAAGGAAGGAAGGAAGGAAGGAAGGAAGGAAAAAATGGCAAACTTACAAAGGATATAGATGAACTCCAGTGATTGCTATGTTTGTGTTTTATCAACTACCTGCCCAGAAAATGTTGTTTCTTCTTCATTTTAAATTAACTTGTCTGCAAAGGCAGGCAGGACCCCAAATTGAATTGTCCACAAAAAAATGAAGTTGTTCCAAACCTGCTCTTTCACAACCGACATTAATCATCACCTTGCTGTGATTTCTCTTAAGTCTGTTAACAGGGGGAATGTACATTGTGCCAACTCACAGCCACAGGATGCATTTCCCTTTGGAATGTGATATTTCAAAATAATTGTATTTCTTCTCTGGAAAAAGAAGACCCATAAAATAACATGCTGAACAGATTGCATCATCTTTCAAGAGATTACAGAAATACCTGAGAAAAAGGCACCTTGAGCTCAGAGATGGGGAGAAGAAAACCCCACCCCTCTTTCTCTAACTGGAATTTAAATTGGACACAGTCTGAAGTGTGATCTATGTATTTATTAGCAGACCGATCACAAGACTTGGCAATGGAATGAAGCTTGGACTGTGAGGTTGCAAAGAAGATTGCTACCCTCCATATCTATGCTTGCTAAAGAAAGGAGAACCTTCCTTGTATTCTTTTGTTCTTTTCACACCATGTTCTCAACCCTTTTTTCAGGGTTCCAGAGCTGAGATGGTTGGATTACAGCAGATAGAACATGGCCATAGTTCTTGTAATGGCACCTACAAATAAAGGCAAGGGACCAATTATAAGAGAGGATGTTAGGAGCAACCATTAAACTGAGAAATCTCTCTTCCCGGGGAAAGGAGGGTGGATTGTCAAGATATCTTTGTGGGTATTTTCAAAGTGCTCTGAAGGGCAAACATTCCTTTTTCCCATGTGAGTCTATGCTTTGTTATTCTTCGTGTTCTCCTATTAACTCCCACTTGAAATCAGCAGGAGTTCATTGCAAGTGAGAAAATAGCCAAGGTAACCTTATCTTAACAAGGATAAGGCATGGCTTTCTTATGTGAAAGGCACTTAGATATGTTGGAGGGTTCAACAGTGGCTGCTTCCCCGTCTTCTGCTGACCTTTTCTTCATCTTCTGCAGGCAGAAGGAACATCAAACCTCTCTGACAGAACAGCCAAGGGCTGCCCTCTTTGACATCCTAGCTGCAACTGAACAACAATCAGAAGCAGCTACAGTGACTTTATTACTGTAGCTAATAAAGTTGAGTACCTCCATTACTGTAAAACAGTCTTCCTCTATCTGAGGTCCTCCAGATCTGGTGGAACTACAACTGCCAGAATTCCCAGTCAATATGGATAATCAACCTGAAGAGCACCAGGAGAAGCCTGTGGTATATGCTGTGCTTGTATATGCTCTGCTTGAGCGAAAGAAGGTACGTGGTATTTGTTAACGACATGTATAATGGAATTCTGACTGCATGCCATCGTTCAAATAATCTGCATTCTCTGCACTGCTGTGATCAGATCTTGGAGAAGAACAACAGTGCTGAGAGCAGGACCATCAGACAGCAGTGACTGGCCTTGCAGGTAGATATTCCATCTTGGCTTTTCTTCTAAGCATTTCTCTAGGGAAAACCCCAGTTATTGTAACAACACAGTATGTACTAAGGTGCAGATAAAGCAATAGAAGATTGATGCAATTTGGTCTTCTACTTTTTATTTAAGTTTCAGCTCAAATCTGTGGCCTTATATACGATCCTTTAAGAATTTTCTACTCCCTCCCACAGATACACATTAAAGGCAAAAGTAGGTCTGACGTTAACTTTACTCAGGTAATTCACTTTCACAAAATGAATAAAACTGCAGTAAAACTGAGACAAGATTTCTTTCCTTTGGTTTATTAAGGCAGGAGAGAAAACTCTTCATGTGTTAAAACAACAACAAGAAGATGATTTCCTTGCCCACACAGCCAGACAAATATCTCAAGATAATTTATTTGCTTTGCAACCCATTCTCTGAACAGTTACTGGGGCATCACAAATGCCTCTGACTGACAGCTAACCGGATTAAAAATTGGTTTAATGTCCGTGTTTACAGAAAAGGTTTTCAACAGTCACAACAAGAGAAAGAAACATGGAATTTGTTCAGAAATTCTTTGTGTGTGCTAAAGATTTTATTTCAGTCTGCTGACTTGTACCCACAAAGCTTACACACTACACTCTGCACAACACAGGTAGGCAGGATTTAGAAGAAATTTTGTCATTTCCTCAAGGCCACATCTTTTGACTTTAAAGAATCCCACCAATTGAGGCTGATTAGCAAGCTGGTGAGGGCAAGGCTCAAAAGCTATATGCAAAATGATTCCTTCTGTTATTGCTCGGTTTAGTTTATTAAGGAGGAAAAGATGCCTGATAAAATTAAATCAATTGCTTACTCAAGGTTGAAATGACAGTACCTTACCTGAATAAACGCTGAAACCTCTCCCTTTGGAGATTCAGTGAAGCAGTTAGTTAATTTATTTACTCATTTAGATATTAAAAACACCTACCCTCTACTCTGAGTTCTATACATGCATTAAATAGATACAAGTGGTTCTAATCTTCTTGGCACAATTGAAAACCAGATACCCAAACACCTCGGGGAATGTGTAATTTCTCAGCAAAAGTATGCTGGGTGAAAAGGAAACAGTTTCCACATGATTAGTTTTTGAAAACTAATCTGTATCGAACCACTGATTATTAAAGGGCAGCGGATCTCCAGATTTCTCTAATATGGCTGCTTATATCCAAGTACAACAACTAGCAATTAGCTTACCCAATTTGCTGTTGCTATGACATACAAGGGAAAAAGAAGAGAATTCTCCGCCATTAACATTTACAACAGTCCAAGTGAGGGAGATCAAGACAAAATTGTGTGAGCTTTTTTTTGGGGGGGGGCGCTTATTGACCGATATTTCACGTGATTCATTCTCAGTCAAACAATGTATAGGAATGGGTAGGACACCCTAAGAAGAATCTTCACTCCTGAATGGAATTAGAAGTCTGTACCAAAGGGTTCAAATTTGCCCCCATTCTAGAAAAAGAAAGATTAAGTATTAATCACTTAATATGAGTTGAAAGCGATTTACTATCGCAGAGGTAGTGGTCAGTTGGTTTCTGACTGATACGTTGTATGAATATTGAGGTACTGCTTTCTTAGTACACATCAACATGTCACAAATGGAGCCCATGTTGAACATAAAATATGGCCTTTTGCCAGCAAAATAACTATGGGAATTAGGCTAGAGTGATTAAGCATGCAACACTGGGGAAGACCAAGTTACCCTGATTTCTGGTAAGATACTTAAATGTTTAAGCTTAAAGAGAGGACAATATTAGGTATTTACCCATTAGGGTGCCAACATTTTAGAAACAGCAGGGGAGATAAGGTCTTTCTGTAAATTGATATTTATTCTGGGAAATGCATCTGCGTTTTGGAGGAATCTAGCTTCTTGTGCATTTCATGTTTTCCAGTGAAGTATGCAACTCTCCTTGACATGATCCTAATAAGATGAACAATTGTCTTGGGGTCTCAGGATGGCTAACAATGGGGATTGGCTTATAATACAGAAAACTGTACTACTTGTTGTTATTACTAATTCTCCTGTGCTATTATTAACACAGATGGAAAAGTAAAAGTTTAAGCATCTTAGGAGAATTTAACCTAAAAGGGGGCTCATAAAATTTAAATCAATAAATCTAAGCCCAATCAATCATTATATTCCATGAATGAGCTTAGTGGGAGGAAAGAGATTTTTCTTTCAATACCCCCTGATTCACTTATGTACACCAAGGACCCGAGCCCATGTAGAGTTGGGTGATGAACATGACCTCCAAACTGGTTTGTTCTCACTTGTGGACAGTTAGTGTACTTTGAAGGAATAATGACAGCCCTGGTGGTATTGTTTAGGCTGGGAAACTAAACTGGTTTCAGCCTGGTTAGTGCTTGGATGGGCAACCTTCAAGGAATGTCAGAGCTGTCAGCTAGACTGGGAAGTAAAAACAAACAAACCAACAAAAACAGAAGAAGGCAACAGCAAATCATGTCCATATTTCTACCAAACAAACTACGTGGACATGTCCATGAAATCAGGAGGTTGAACCTGACCATGAGAGACTTTACAGTGAAGTAGCCAGAGTGTTGAGTTTGGCTCTGAAGTATATAATATAAAAGAAAAAGAAAGGAATCCCTGCATTGTTAAGAATCTTGCTGGATGTTCTTAGGTAAAATATTTTCTGCCATGACCAGGTTGATGAAAAGCTATTGGATGTTGTATGAAAATATGGCTCTGGAAGGTATTTGAAGTTTTGGACCAGTGCTTGGAGGCTGGCCTGCAGAAGCTATAGCCTGAAGCCCAATTCTGTTGTTTGAACTCTTCAGTTCTGTTGAAGGCCATGAGGTCAGTGATTAGAGACCCGCTCAGCCAACCCAGAACTGCAGCTTCTTTCCTTCCATAGTGCTTAAGCATTCATAGTCAGAAGTCCAGTGACGTAAGTTGCTGGACGTGTGATTCCTCTTTTAAAACCAGCCTTTTACATTCCCTCTCAACTTGACCTACTTCACAGGGTCTATGTAACTCAACCTCTATAGTAAAGGAAATATTCAAATGTATACAATATGATTTTAAAAAGAGATCTTCTGGACACTCATCATCTGGTCTTGCTGTATTTATGACACTTGACCCCAGTAAATCTTACAGATGACAATACAGTGTAAATGCCAAAGAGCTAGTACATTTTTTTTTTTTGGCCTACTATGATATCTCCTCTTCATTTTCCCGGGTGTCTTACATACCCTTATCATCAGTACAGCTTTCCTGATGTCCCGAACACCATCATAAACCAAGCGAGAGGCATCAATGAACTCATTCTCTTCAAACGGTTGTGGGACGTTTGCACTCAGGGCTTCAATAGCGACTTCCACTTGTTCAGCAAAACGCGGCATCACTAAATTAAATCAAAGGAAAGGCAGTGAGGATGTAGATTTCGTTTTGCAACATTAGTACTTCCCCTTAGGCATAAAGACTTTCAAGCAGGTCTGGAACATGCTGGTGCTGCAGCATCAGGATGTAAAAATGGGTAAATATGAAATTATCCAACATGAAATGGTCCTATCATCTCAAGATTTTGTGGACAAATAATTTAACAGCTAATGTGGGTGCAGTACATTGTGTAGAGTTATGAGATTTAAATCAACAGTTGTCTGGATCCCTCATAATGCTTTTCAATTGCAAAGGACTGCTCCATCATTGAGACCTCTCCTTACTTCAGAGTAGTAAGTTCAGGGAAGGACTGGAAAGGTCTGCAAGATCTTGTGGTTTCTAGCTGTACATCATGGAAGCAGGTTGCTACCAAATCCCTGAGAAAATTTGGCTCATTCAAGCAATCCATTCAGTACTGTGGCTTTCTTCCAGGCTGGAGGCTATCATTTGCATGGACAGCGGTTGCTTGGAGATCTTGGAATGCAAGTGACTTGAGTTGGGCAAGCTCAGGTAGGGTGTTGAGGACTGAAATGGGAGTTACTGCACCCGAATGAATTTTGAAGTTTTAATTCCAAGCTTTGCCCACTCTTTCCTAAAATCCTGCCTTAACTCTGATGTGGGCAAACGTGACACGTGTATTCTGAAACCTTATACATATTCTGCAAAGGGGGTATCAACCTAAATTGGGCTCCCTTATAGATTTGTGGAAGAAAGAATTTCAATCTCTGAGAATTGTAGGATAAACTGATTTGAGTGTGCATTGGTATTTAAGTTATCCACCTGCTTTCATAGTTTTAAAATAGTCTGAGTCAGTTCTTGACTCACCAAACAAATCATGATACGTTTTTTAAGAAACATGTGTTTGGGGAGAAAAAGGATGTGTAGACATGTGCACTTAGAATGTACTGAAATGCAAAATTTCCTACTGAATTTCTTTTTAATCTGTGGATCAGGAAGAAATGGGAATGGAAAGGGTCATAGTCAAATACAAGCAATAACATCACAGACCAGAAATTAACTGATGGATTCATCCCTACGTTACAGCATATCTGCCACATCATAGGTATCCATAGCTAGAGTCACAGGCACAACATTGTTTTAAAGCTCTTTTGATAAATCAAATTCAACACACCACCTCAAATAAGATTTCACCAACCAGTTCTAGCTTCTGTTGGAATTGAACTGAAGATTATCTTGGCTATTCCAGCACCGATCTGGAAAAGGCAACAAGCTATGGACCTAATAGCTTGAATTTGTGACAGAATAGCTTATGCAATCTAGGCACACTTTATTTATTTGAATTATATCCCATCTTTCACTCAGAAGGTAGCTCACATAGCAGTCCTATTTTCCCCACAGCAACAATCCTGATTGGGCCCAGGGAGTGTGTCTGGACCAACATCACCCAGAGAAGCTTCTGTTACTGAAGGCGTAACAACACACTGGCTTTCTAAGAAATTTAGCTTTCATGCTTATTCATATCTGTATTTAAATCTGTATTTATAAAATTTCCCTACAACCTCTAAGATAGGTTGGTTTACGAGACTGACTAGCCCAAAATTTCCCAGTGAGCCTCTGTGCCTGAGGGGGACTTAAAGCAGTCATGTCTTCCCTTAAACCCTCTGAAGACCCACGTTTGAAGTGTGCCCCTCAATGTCTTATGTAAAGTATGGTGTGGTCCTCGTGATAAAAGTACATACTGCTGTTGAATCTATTCTCCACATGCTGCTGAACTGCTTCTACAATGATATACAAAGAAGACTCATCTTCCCTCTCTTGCTACGTGCACCAAATTATCCTGAGGAACTTCATGTCAATTTCCTCTTATCAGACAAGAAAAGTGTGATCACCCATAATGTAGCAAAGTTCTGTATAGCTGCTGTGAATGTGTGCAAACAACTGACTGTTGCACATGACTGACGTCGTCATACCTGACTCATTTATCTTCTGTTATGTAGGATTGAAATACTGACTCCCATTACTCTAGTACCTTATTTAATAGTTGCTTTAACACCTTAGACTATTAGATTCATTCATACAAATATTCACCTTTTCAGTTTGTTATGTGGTTATGTGGATGGTTTGTTTGTTGTTGTTTTTCTTTGCTGTATTTAGTATATACAAGTTGTTTTATCTCGTCACTGCCTGAAATAAATATTCTGTCTATCTGTCTGTCTAGCATATTGCTGGAAAGGGCAATTGAATACGTGCCAGAAATGGAAAATGATTCATGTTTATTTGTTGTTATTTATTTGTCAGATTTATAAGCTACTTTTCTGTGATGTAGGTTAGGTTGAGAGAGAAGAACTAACCCCAAGTGACCCAGTGAGATTCCATGGCTGAACATGGACGAGAACCTGAGTCTCCTCACTCCTGTCCAACTCCTTCATCACTACATTGCATTGGCTTTCCAATAAATTTAGCCTTCCTGCCTATATTGATATCTATATATCTAGATAAGTGTTTCTCAACTTTGGCAACTTTAAGAAGTGTGGACTTCAGTTCCCAGAATTCCCCAGCCAGCACGCTAGATTTATATATCCTCCTTCTTCAATTTTTCCTTGCAACAGCCATGTAAGATAGGCTGAAATGAGAAACTGGCCCACAGTCATCCTGGAAGCTTCTGCAGTTGAGGGTAGAATCTCCCTCTCTAGTCCAGCCCCTTCACCAGTACACAATGCTGACTCTTTCCAACACACAACCCATGATATTGCTGGCTATAAATGAGTAAGATTTTTTTTTTCTTCCAGTACTAAAATCTAACACACAAGTTGCCTTCAAGGACACAGAAGAGTTACTGGTGCCTAAATCCCAGCTGAGTGTAGAACATGAAAGATGCTAATGGCTTTAGGTGAGCAATTTGCAGTATTAATGGTTGGGGCATACATTCATACTTTATGAATCCATGCATAACTGGCACATTCAATATTTATTTCTGCAATACATATAGGCCTTGGGATGGCTTTTGTAGTCAGCAAAGGCAGGAAAAAAAAATTCTAGAGGGCTATTTTGCTGATTTGTATGGCAAACAATCCTTTTCAAATGGAAAATGTGTACACAATTGGTGCAGGCAGGATGGATTCTGAGCATTCACTTGCCTGTGTGTGTCTTATCTTGCAATGTCAGCATGGCTGGGCTTCTGCCATGCAATTTTTAAATTTTTTTAATTGTAGCACTGGAGCTACAAAACTGAGCTGCAAATCCTCTCACTGGCTCTAAGCAAACCACCCTCACCTGGTGCTTCTGTATGCAATTATAGGGACTGGGAACATGGAAGTAAATGCCTTAGCCTAAATCTTAATTATTTACATGATGACATGGAATGTGCTATGACTGATTCCTGGAACCCTGACTGGGGTGGCCAGTTGGAAGAGGAAACTACAAACTGCTTCACAACATCTTTGCTTAGGAAGCTCAGAGATAAAGGAGGGGAAAAGTTCATGTTAAGAGTTAAGTCAAGTCTTTGAGTTAAACTTAATTCCTGGTGATTTCCGAAGCAACTTTGTGTGGTTTTCTTGGCAGTAAGATGGGTATGATAGTTGAGGAGGAAGATGGACAATTACGGAAAGATGCCACTTGGCTTGAAGGCCACCCAATGCTTTGCCAAGAATCAATTAGTTCACAGGAAGGATGAGAGGAAGAAGCAACTTTCAACTATTACTGAGGGTTTCATTTCCATACTCTTAATAGCAGTGGATAACCAACTGATTTATATGGCTATAGTCTTGTCTGCAATAAAGTTTCTTATCTAGCTGAGCTGTGTGGATGAGTTTACTGCCAAATCAAACAAAATAGTGGAGCTAAGTTGTCTTAGTGCTGAGAGATTTGTGAATCGCTGTCAAGTCCTCCCAGGGAAGCTTAATAAAGAAGGTGGTTTGCTATTGCCCTCTAACACCATGGGTGTTTTGACTTCCCAGTTTAGCCTGTAGCTTTGGAATTTGGAACCAGGAAATAGCCTAGTGGTCATCCATCAAAGTATTATCTGGGGCCAACCCTGCTTAAGGTTCCAAGATCAGCCAAGGTTGGCTAGGTGCAGATGTTATTGAAGGCTGAACAGATTGACTAATGAAGGCCACCTAACTAGCAAGCTGCCTCTAGGGAACTTATTTTTTTGCATTTTAATTTGTTACAATTTTTTTTTCATTTTTACTTATTATTCCACAACAAAGAGGGTGGGAATCCGATCACAGGAACCAACTAAAATGATGGTACAGGAGAGAGGGAATTCTGGCCAAATAAAATTTCATTTGCAAAATGTTTGGGCAGCAATACCGAGATTGCTTCCAGCACCACAAGTATCTTTCTGCTATTTCATTTTTTGTTCAAGTTCTTTTGGTTCTCTCGCTTCACTCTGCAACATAAATCATGCAGGATACAACAACAACAAAAATCCCTACAACATGTTGAGAGTTGTGCTGTCATAAAGACTTATAGGTCTTGTTGGCGGCTAAGCAGCTTGCATGTACAAACTTTTCTGCCCCCCTTTATTGCCCTTTAATACATGCGTTTCAAAATTCACATTATCTTAATGTGATCAGAGTATCGTGCTAACATGCTTAAGACTGATGATGCATATTCAGTTGGAAAGGAAGGGGGAATGAAATATTATTTATGGGAATTTCTTTTCCCCATATCTTACAAGATAAGAAAAAAAAATCTTTTACTTTTAGTAGAATGAAGCAAATGCCATAAGACCTCCCTTCCATTAACATTTCTAAACTTTAGGCATATTGTGAGAGTTTCAATGTGCTCAGAGTTTGGCAGGAGAAATCTGATATTAAATGGCACGCTCCAAGCATGATTCATCAAAATGAAACCTGTTACAGAAATGAATCCAAAATAAAATCAATTATGCCAGCCATCTTCTCTCTGCTGATACACTTTGTAGTACTTGATGGGTACATCTTTCAAAATGATACTTTCATATTCAACTGTGCAGTGTCTTGGCCCAAAATGTTTGGAAGTAGGGGAGAAAGACATATGGAGACATGCAGCTGGCATGGTTTAAAATTATTGTCTCCTATGGTCAAGCAGAGTAATCCATACAGAATTGGTGGTAGGCTATTGAAGGAATACAGAGCTTTGAAGGGGGGAGAGAGAAGAGACCCCATCCGAAGTACAATTCAGTATTTGAAAAGATCAGCTGGATCAATCTATATGGCAAGAATTACTTCAGTGTTCCTGTTAAGCCTCTTTTAGTTGACAAGGCAAAATACTGCTAAAATATATTTCCCAGTACAAGAAAGGTCAAAGAAATAGATTTATTGAAGCAAAACTACAAAGCCATTATGAAAGAATTCCAGTGACTGCTGTGTATCAAATGCGAGCTCTATTTATACTACAATCAGCCTTTAAATGTCTTGCATCTCTTTCTTCTGCCTACTGTCCATATTGAAAGGGCTAGAAGGAATTTTTTTGGGCAGGAAACATGCTTTCCCTCTGCTCCTTGTTTTGGCAACAGTCTGATCTAGTATCAGTTTGTATCCTTTTGATCATGTGAGAACTAACTTTCATCCCCACCCATCCTCCTGATTAGCGGACTATCAATTTCAATGGACAAAACTATAATAAAGTAGGATGCATGAGAAGAAAGGGAGATGTTCAAATGTATATTCTCTCTCCTTCCAGAATTATTAAAAGTCCCTGCAGAAATGACTTATTTAATGTTTCTCCAAACAATATTGTACAGATTGCAGAGGGGTGAGTTGTTCGTTGTTCTTCCACAAACTCTGCATGGGAAGACTTTACAGAATGAGCAAATAAAATCAAGAGGAAGGGCTGTGATGAACATAAAATGGTTGAAATGGGCAATGTGTGCCCCACTTCCACCACTCAAGCAAAGCTGCTCATATAATTAGACACTTCTGCTATAAAAACTAACCCTATCCTTAATCATGTTCTTACATCTTGGGTACCAGCTTCAAATTGGTAACATATTCCATGATTCCAAGGAAAAGGTAACGCTTATATGATCTACCAGTATAAGGTGTAAATCACCAATTACATTGTTAGTACAGATTGCACAAAAGGTACATTTCTCTTCTGGCTGCCTTTTCCTGTGGCACAATTCATAGAGGCAATATGTGGGCAGAGCTCTTCCTTTCTTAGTGCATCATTAAAGTGCACTTTTCCCAACACAGCATGACTTCTGTGGGCACCTTTGATTTAATATCAACTCTGATGTGCGCAATCTACTGGATGGAAGTTGAATCTGTGATCTTCTAGCCTACTCATATGCAAACCATGCAAACTGTAGCTCAAGGCAAAGCAGTAACCCAATGACATTTAGAATATTTTAAAGGGTTTATTTACATGAGATGGCCCAGAGACTTTGCTGACATCCTAAAAAGATGCCTAGCTTTGGCTTCCTCGGTGGTGTGGCCACCTGAAACACTGCAGGGGGGTGGGGCAGAAAAGACCTCTGAAGAATAAAGCATCCACAGCTTTTTAAAAATTTAGAAGAGCTTTAATGTAATGCGATAGCCAAGAATCACTTGCAGCAGCCACAAGGTCTTCCCACAAGACTTCTTTTACTGAAAAGTGGACCAACGAGCTACGGGTTAAATTGCATCTGGTACCTCCCCCTTTTCTTCTGCTCTGTTTCAAGTATTCAAGAGGAGTGTGTGAATTCTAGAATTTCCTGATGCATCTTGATGCCCTTTTCAATGTTTTGATTCTGTAATTACTTTTGGTGATGCATCTCTCTCCCCTTCTCGAAATGAGAACTCTGGATGTATAGTGTAGCGTTCATAGCAATCCTGGATTAGGACTATAGAATGCCATTATTACCTTACTTTGAAAATTAGTACCTCGCTTTTTGTAAGCTGCTGGTGAATATTCAAGATGGCTTTTTGCAATAGTTCAGGAACTCCACTGAACAGGAGGAAACAGGACCAACCGAAAACATTGTTTAACATGACAAGTTAAAAAAGTGTGCCCCTTATCCTAAAGCCACATGGACAGTTGGCCTATCTCATCACGGTAAAAATATAGTAACTTCTCTCGAGTTAAAATCAGAAGGCGGGCTCAAAGAGAGAGAGAGGGTAGACTTAAGACACTTAAAACCTAGCTCCTTGCTGTCTCACCTTATCCTACACCATCCTACCATCTGGGACAACTGGTCCTTCTGTCCATTCAGGATGGGAGTGCAAGAACAGATGCAATCACTGTTTTTCAAAATCACATCTAATGGATATGTCAATATGAGATAATGATTAAAAAGGACAGGCAAACAAAAGATAAAGAAAAGAACCTACGCCTAATCTATTTTGTTGTCTGGAAACAGACCCACTGTCTTATAGGATTTGGAGTTATTGGTATCAGTTTGTTGATAAGCTTTTTCCAACCTCCAGCTGGTATTTTTCAGAACTTAAATTTATTTGGTAAGGAAAGAAGATTGGCCTCATGGAAAGGCAGTTATCGCAAACTCAAAAGTTTATTAGGGCCACAAGGTAACCCCCCGCCCCCCATGTCTCCATTTCTGAATTATTACGGGAGGAAGAAAGAAAGAAATGAACATGACATTTTATTTAGCTTAGAGTGTTTGTCAAAGACTTTTTCTATGAGGATTGTAAATTTCATGTCAGAAGATTCTAAATATTTCATGGAAGTTTTATTACATCTAAATCTGATATATAAAAGCTTCATGCTGCATAATTTCTATCTTGTTGGATCTGGCTGTTCCAGACATAATTAAAAGACAGCGAGCTTTGCAGAGAATTATAATGGTATATAAGTTGACACAGGCAATTAAACAAGTTGACACAGGCAATTAAACAAGCATACCTTCCACATTCACACATAGACAGACCAAAAATGTTCTAAACCTGGCCAGTTAGTAGACTGGTTTTTAATCTCTCTATAAATATTAGCACATTAAGATTATTATTTTGTACTAGGGATTGAATTTGCTGTTGTTTAGTCGTTAAGTCGTGTCCGACTCTCCGTGACCCCATGAACCATATTGCGCCAGGCCTTCCTGTCCTTCACTGCCTCCCTGAGTTTGCTCAGTTTCATGCTCATTGCTTCAGTGATGCTACCTAACCATC